AGTAAATCACTGATTAACAAAAATGGGTTAATTTAAATGAAAGAGCTAGTTAGTAATAAGAGCTAGTTAGTAATAAGCCTGAGCTATTGGCCAAGCATTTGTAATTAATGTAAGTCTCTGAGTGGTTATTTGGAAACTAGAGGGTGGGAGAGAAACATCTGTTTACCCTTCACAACCTCCAAGTGTCCCCTCCAGTTGGTTCCTCCTACCTGTGGCCTGGGCAACTGCCTTAAGGAGGACACCATCACCAACACCCAGCTCTAGTCCCTGCTGAGGTGGCCCAAGGCGGTTGAGGCTGAGGTAAAGAACAGGAAGCAGGTCGGGAGGTGACAGGGCCACCACCGAGCGCAGCAAGTTGCTCAGTGTCTCCACCATCTTGAGCCTGGAGGAAAGGGTCAGAGTATGTCCACCTATCTCCAGGTCAGTGGGGTCTGGGGTCCCAGGAAGGGAGGGGGGGTAGAGGAAAGGAACAAGGGAACGGAAGGGAATGAAGTGACAGGGAACAATGACAGCTCGCCTGTGGAAGGGTGACTGTGAAAATGACAATGAGGACAGCAGCCATGCTAACAGAGGACAGCAGCCATGCGCAGATACTTCCTCAAGAAGGCATTGGTTTTAAACCCTTTTAACTAATGGATCCTCACGTCCCCTCTGAGACAGGTGACATTATCATCCCCAGTTAGCAAATGAGAAAAACAGACATGGAAAGACTATGACTTGTCCAAGGTCATAAAGCACCGGGCTGAGCTTCAGGCTGAAGTTCGGGCTAAAGCTGTCCATTCTAGGACACTCCAGCCACCGAAAATGATGGCCATGCTGCCTGTGGATGCTGGTTATGGTGACACAGACAGAAACTGTGGGCTTCTATGGCCTAACTGAAGAGGCCATGTGGGCTGGGATGTAGTTCAGTTGACAGAATGCTTGCACAACATACACAGATCCCCACATAAACTGGATATGGGGACCCTCCTGCAATCCTACTACACAGGAGGCAGAAGCAGAAAGAGCGGTTCAAGGGCAGCGTGAACTGCATGAGACCTGTCTCAAAAAACGACAAATTTTAAAGAAAGGCTGTATTTTTCCTGTAACAAGCCTGAAGAACAATTCTTTCAGAAAGGCAGGAGAAACAAGAGAAACACAGAGTCACCATTTAACCGCTGTACAAACGCCACAGGGATGGATGGTTGTTGCAGAAAGAGCTAACTGCTGGATGTTAGGATGTGCAGACACCTTCCTCCCCAAACCCACGTCTACTCAGCTCCAGAACGTGACCCATTTGAAATAGGGATTTTGTAGGTGTGATTAAGGATGGAGAGAAAGCATGCTGGATTAGGGTGAACCCTAAACCCAAGGCCTCTCAGAGAAAAGGGCATAGAAAGAGAAGGTGGTAACGTGTACAAAGCTTGCTGGAATCCCAGAAGCTGAGAGAAGCTGTGTCAGGTTCTCTCCCTGAGCCTCAAGAGGAGTCACCCTGCCTGCCAACAACCAAACTGTTGCCAGTGCCTTGGCTTTAGACTTGAGGCTTCCTGCACTGAGGGAAAATAACATTCTATGGGACAGCGGCAGGGGTGGGAGAGTGGGTGAATGTAAGAAAAGGAAGGAACAGGAAGTTCCCACAAGGCTGCTAAGAGGGAAGCTGCAGAGTGGAGAAGCCAGGTATTCAGCTTTGGGTGATCCAGACCGGCGACTTCACACGCAGTGAGAAAGCACTGTCTGAAACTAGATCTGAGGAAACACGCTACAAATCCAAACCGAGACTTCCACACGAGCCACCAAAACTTCAGCAGTATCAAGGTCACAAAGGACAAAGACAGATGGACGGGACACCTGAGGACAAGCTGGCCACAGGTGGGAATCCCAGAAAAGAAACCAGGACAGAAATGGGCAAGTGTCACAATGCAAATGAAGGCAGGGATCCCTGTCACTAACAGCCTTGTGTTGACATATTGATTCTGATCATCTTGGTTCTGACAAGGATTCTAAACCAGAATAAGACATCAGCACAAAGGAAGCCAGTCCAGATACATGGGGACACTCTATTGCTTTTGAAGGCTTTCTAGAAAATCTTTAATAAAAAAAAAAAAAAAAACTTTAAAAAGAAAAGAAACAAAAACAAATCGGATACCCCTGTACCCCATGGCTTTGGGTTTGGGGTCAGGAAAGCCACCCACAGTAGATAATGTATGAGATTCTCCAAAAGCTAATGTCTCCCCCTGTGTCGTTGATAAATTCAATCTCCACAAAAGGCCGAGATATATGCTCTCCCTTTATCCCTGGGGAAACCGAGTCCAGAGAGGGAGGCCAACCATCTGCCATAGGCACAATGATAACTGTTCCCTTGGCCACCACACCCAGCTGCTGCTACAAGCCACTTTCTGAGCTATGTATCCTGGTACTCAAGGTCCTTCCCATGTCCTCAGTCACCTCACTGTGGGGTTACACCCCATGTGGAGTTCTTAAACATTCCCAAGGAAACATTTCTAAGGACAAAACGTTAAGGGCAGTCTAAAGACGCATAAAAATGAAAGAATGTTATAGGAAAGTTTAAATATGCCAGGAAAGCTTAAGCCAACATGGAGCAGTAAAAATGAGGTCGATAAAACAAGCGCTGGCAGGATGAGGTAGACACCGTAACACTTAAACCACCTAGATACACACAAGAAAGCCCTAGGTGTAGGAGGCCGAGAAGGGACAGAACTGGGGAGAGGAGAAAGGGAGCCAACATGGACCACTGATGCTGATATTGCAGATCACTGGGAGGGAAGGCTCTGCAGGGGAAACTTGGCAAGCAAGGTCACCCCGG